TAGCCGGCGGTGATCCTTTTTCGACCACGTCGGCTCGTGACCACTTGTGATTTGATCATAACCTGTGGTGTTTATTACACCCGACCAACCGACACTTTCTTTGCTAGTTTTCCAGCTATCTTTTCCTTTAAACAAATGAACATCCCTATCGCCGGACGAGCTTGATCTATGCTGCCAAGCCAAGCAATCCATTGGCTTTGTGTACTTTTGTCCTGGGGATCTGATGAATGTTGTTTGAAGGAGAAGGGGCCGGGTTGGAAAATTTAACAAGTTTTAAAGTGGGTAATGAAACAGTTTCTGTTATATGAATTTAGAGTTTTCGCCTTTCGTTCTACCATTTTCTGAAAGAGTAAACAGATGCTTCTTCGAACACAGCTAAATCGATTCTAAATAGCATGCTATTCTTGATTCCACAACAAATAATTCTTTTGCAAATTAAGCTAATAAAATGAGTAAAGTTCAAATTAAAATAATTTATATTAGTCCTCAAATTATAACTCATTCTAAATCAATTACTAAACTTTAAAATATTCAATATCAATCTACAAATTATCAGTATCATTTCATTTCGATTCTTTTTTTAGCGTGTCATTAACTTCACTAATATAGAAAACTAATATAATTTTTAAGGTCCACTATTATAGAAAACTAATCTATTTTTTCAACACTTGTTATTATGAATATTTACTTGAGTAACACCTTATAACCATAACAATGACCGTTATGCAGTAATAATGATATCATATAAAACTACAATATTCATAATTATTATATACATAATAATATATGTTATTAAAAATTCATACAGTACTTATAATGACCGTAATATCACATGTCTGCGATAAACACATCACACAATCGAAAATACAAATATAAATTATAATTCAAATCGCTTTAATTTTTAGATTCCTACAAGGTCATCAAAATCTCATAAACGGTCTCCGAAGGTGCATTAATAAAAAAACAGACCGTGATGTTATCTGTTTATGACACGTGGAAGGGTGGTGCAGACATGATCTAACGTCAATTAATGTCAGTTTGTTGACCATTCTACAACTTGTAAGATTTTAGTCAGTCTGCAATAATCTTCCATTTCTGGTGGCCATTAAAAGTTTAACAACGCCATTGTTGTAGCCTAATAGCTTTGTTTCCTGCCAGGTTTTCAAATCGATTGACTTCAACCCTGAACTGAGTCGTCTTTTAGCGGCCATGTTGGAGTGAATTGTAAATATCAAAGTTTGAAAAAGATGTGGTAAGTGTGAACTCATTCATTATGGAAGAGAGAAAAGTCCAAAGGTTCGCCAAAGATGATTACCAAAATCTAGGAAAGAAAAAAAAAGGGCAAAACTTTGTCTGAGATGAAGATGGTAGAGTTTTAGTTCATCTGCATCCTTTGATTTCAATTTAGAAAACATAAAGAGGAAGAAGAGGATCTTCAGAACAATTGGTATTTTTTTTAACTTTTATCATCTGCACTCTTTTTATTGATCACTTTCTGGTGGAATTTTATGATGTGGGGTTTGATTGTTGGAGTTAGTTATTAAACAACCACTTCATCTGTGTTTATTTTCTTTTCTGGTAATCTGGGGCCTGCTTTTCTAGTGGAAAGTTTGGTGGGTTGATTTTAGGGTTGTGATTTGGAAGTCAAGCTTTCTCCTTTTTCTTATTGTCAAAGATTTTAGCTGGTGCTTGAGGTTGGAGTTTTTTTTTTTTGAGTTTCTGGGATATTCTGTTGAAGGTTTTGAATGTTTTGGCCTCGTGGGTGTTTGTAAAACCTGAGATTAGTTTGCTGCAGTTAAATTTGTTTTTCGAAATGGATAATTCGAAGAATCGGCTTAACGATCCACTTGCTGTGGGCAAGACAGCAAGAACATAAAGAAGAGTCCATTGCATCAACCCAACTTTGCCAGTAATGGTGCTAGGCAACAGCCTCAGCCTCAGACTTACAACATAAGCAAGATCGACTTCCGGAACATCGTTCGGCAGCTCACCGGTTCACCTTCGCGCGATGATCCTTTGCCCAGACCCCCTCATAATCCTCCCAAACCCCAAAGTCTGAGGTTGCTGAAAATTAAGCCTCCACCATTGACACCAATGAACCAACCTCATGCACATTGTCCAGTTCCCCCTGCAGCTCATTAAAACAGTAGCTTAGCTAGACCAGGTTAATATGGACAACCATCCCCGGGAATGTTACTACCTAAGATACCCGGGGATTCTGTTTGGGCAAACACAGCTGAATCTCCGAATCTCCGATCTCGGCTTATATGGGATACCTTCAAACCTCTCTTTTAGATCCGAGTCCACTTGGAAAACAAGTTCAGGGTCAATCTCATGCTCCACCACCGTCTTTGGGCGGTGTAAATGGTGCTGTACCATTAATGCCTAATCCATCTTCTCAACAAATGAATGGTCCTATTCAACCAATGCTGAATCTCCCATCACCAGGGATGAATGGAACTGCCCTTTTACCTTCACCAACTTCACAGTTTCTTTTGCCATCACCTACTGGTTATATGAACTTGCTGTTCCCCCCCATCACCTTACCCTTTTCTTTCGCCCCGGGTTCAGTTTCCTCCAATGACACCCAATTTTGCTTTCTCACCCATGGTTCAGTCGGGGATTTTACGTCCAGGGCCTCAACCTCCGCCTTCACCTGGCGTTGCGTTTCCATTGTCGCCTGGTTTCTTTTCCTTCCCAAGTCCTAGATGGAAGGGTTAACAATCCTAGCTATACTTGCTGAGGACCAGCCCCTTCTCATGGAGATTAAGTGTGAAAATATATTGTATACTGCTGCTACAAGGATCTTCATGGAACTTTTTTCTTCTACTTAGGAAATTAGTGGAGATCAGATAACTCATCTGGCATCTGGCAAGGAGCTGTAACATTTTAAGCAGGTAGGATCACAGGCACAGGCAATATTTCTTGTTTACTTGTACCGTTGTGGACTAAATCCTAATTAATTTTTTATTTTAGACCAAGTCCAGATGTCTGATTTGCCTCATATTAATATTGGATTAAAATTAAACCCAGATTTATTTGCAACAGTATTTGGATTACATGCAGTTTTGAGAAGTTGAAGCCACAATTAATCTGTTTGGAAATCCGTTTAAAACATTTTTCATTCCTACTATACCCTACAGACATAATAGCTAAGATTATGGACAAAATTCATCAAGAAGAAACTGAAGGCAAACTAAAAAGGCAGATCAATTAGCAACCCAGTATTTTCCAATGTGACCACTTGGGAGATGACTTTTTCCCACTTTTGCTGCATGCTTTTTCTTTCGTGCTGCTCCTCTCGTTCCTCTTAAGAGGATTTGGCTCCTTCTTTTGTGGTAGCATCGTTTCGGATTCTTCCTGCACCAAAACAACACAATCGAATCAGATATTACATTTCAGTGACATGAAAGATCAACAGGAGAGACGGTACCTTGATCTCAGACCTGGACAGAAGGGGCTGACGAGCCTCCTGCATGAGAAGTTGATTCGAGTTGAATGTCGGTAACGAGCGAGGAACCGATTGCCCCCTGGATCCTCGACTGGAAGATGCATAACCGGACGTCGATGTCGAAGTGCTCGACGTGCTACTGGATTCCAAATCCAGACATAGCTGCAACAAGGAAAAGGTTGATGATAAAGCAATATCGCCAAGATCGTGTCAGAATCCGTTGTTTTTACCTGGAAAAGTTTGTGTTCAAGAGACGTGACCCTGTCGGACAAGGAGCCTTTGAAGTAGGCTTCCCTCATGGCCAACTCCAATGGCAAACATGCTTTCTCCATCTCTTTCTGCAAACTTATTTTCCCTTCTAAATATTTCATCTGAGTGAAGAAGAAGAAAATAATCAACACCCAAAGCATAAAACTGGAAGATACACCCAAAGGGAGAGTGACTCACGATGAAATCCAAATGATCCAACCTGGAAACCAGAGGCATTGAGGAGTGTTGATAATTTGTTCCACTTTCCATTTGATTGTTTTAGAGAGGTGGAACAAAGTGAATGTGTTTTTGGGTAAAGATATTAAGACTGGAAGCAGTTACAAATTCCCTCCTTTTTCTGTCAGTTTATTCAGCCAGCAATGCGCTTGTTCGTTACTGTATGTGGCAAATGGTCTCAACAAAAGCTATAAAAGTATAGGCTTAATTATACTTTTCGTCCTCAAACTTCTAAAAGAATCATTTTAGCACCTATACCTTTTTCCTTTGTTTTTATCCTTAAAACTTCTATTTGTTTTTGTCAGACAAAAATGTAATAGTCCTATTAAGCTAACATCAATTATTTTATTTTATTTATGACTTTTTTACATTTTTAATAAATTTTATAAACTTTACAATTTTTAATAATCTAAATATATATTATCAATTTTAAATATATCTTTTTGGATTTTATTTATTTTTTCATGCAAAAGAATAAATAAGTTAACATTAGTATTAATAAATAAAATTAAATAATTGATGCCAGTTTAACATCTTTATTAATTTCTATTGGTTAATTTAATTTGACAAAAAGATTAAAAAGTTTATAAAATACTCAAATATTAAAATCACTTCTTTAGAAAGTTTAAGGATAAATATTATTAGGTCAAAATAATATATAGCCTAACTTTCCATTTGATTTTTTTCTTGATTAATCTGAGATAAGTACAAAACAATATTTGTTTAAAGATAATTCTCAACATTTTAACATTTTATACTCACTCCTGACATCTATGATGCTCGAACTTGAGTCCTCAAAGAATAACTTTCAATCTGATTTAATTAACTTAAACTTCAATTGAATTATACTATATAGTCATTATAGGTCCATTTCACTTCTGAATAAATGCTAAAGACAACCTTAAACACTAGGAGAGAGAATAATGAAAATCAATGGAATTGGAATCAAACCCGGAGGTGCAAATGAGATTGTCAGAAACTGTTGAATATAAATTCAACAATAAAAAATATCCTCGACACTTTGCCGACTAATAGCTGAAAATATATTTCTCTTCTTTAATAAATTCTGTAAGTCATCAGAAAATAGCTGAAAATATACATATCCGCAATTTATTACACACAATATATCAGTCACTAAGTTGGCGAGGACGCTTCTGTGTACGACTCCCAAATTAACTTAGAAAACTATCACTGTACCATCTCCTTATTTCATACCATCATTCTATATATTATAACCTGAGCCAAACTAAAAAAGTGACAGCCTTGTGTTCACCTCTGGGGGTACCTTCCTGTCTGAATCAAGTTTCAATACTCCGCTGCCATTCGGATCAGGCAATGCAAGGGACAGAGCAAGTGAAGGATCTGTGTCACCACTTGTTTTTCTTCCCCGGTATTCATCTTGCAAACCGCCTTCCAGCTTAAAAAATGGGGGCACATTTCCATCATGGGAAGAGCTCTTTCCATCCCTAAGCCTAAGCTCAAGGCTTGAAGAAACATACGGATCTTGTTGTCTCCCACCGTTGTTCGAAAGAACTTGCTGCTCCAAGGACTTCCACCTATTACCCTCTGAATCTAATCGAGAAGCTATCGCCATATTGTCAACTCCATAGCACTTGAACTCACCACTGCTAGGATCTTGAATATTTGTAGCAATGGCACCTCTCTCGTTTATATCTTTAATGATATTATTACCTATGTTCGTCCCACTAATAGGACAACTCTTCTTGACGTCATGCTTTCCATCAGCTTCTGTACAGCCTGCGGAATACTCTAGGCTTTCTTGAAGAGGACAGTTGAGATCAATTTCAGGTCTTCTTTTCAACTCTCTTTTTTCTATCTGCAGGAAATAAGATCGTCAGCATTTGCCCTCTAGTCAATGGCACAAAAAGTCCTAAAAGAAAACAAACCAAAAGGGCACAAAAGGCGATAACAAAACAATGCATCGACGGTGACAATATTACACAAGGACATCAAAGATAAAACAACACAAGCTACTCTTTGCTTGAAATCACTATGCATATTCCGCAAAGATACAATTTTCCTATGCCTGATAAATGCCTCAGAAGAAGCTGACATCAACTTTTAAGCACAGGAAATGCTCAGCCTAACGATACGAACCACTTTCAGACAACGGAAATAAAAAGGGAACTACCCACATTTTAGAACGTTTCTCCCCACCACCACAACACCTCTCTCTTTTTAGTGGCCATATGTTAAAACAAACAAATAAAAGCAACAAAATTACCTGATATGTGTCTGCCCCGAAAAACTGCTCATTTTTTATTTGGTCATCAACTCTGCCCACTTGTTGACTACAACTTATTTGTAAATCAGGGGGTTTTTGTTCCCAAGATGCTTTGGTTTCACAAACTTCAGCCATTCTTCCAGATGTAAATGCCTTTGAGTCGAGCAAGGTATCGGCATTTAACATTTCTTGGGTGTTATGAGATGCCGAGGACGCAGATATATTTTGACTTGACTTTCCAAAAGGAAGCAAATTCTCAGAAGCAGACACAACCGGAACCTGTTGTGGAAAATGAACCATCTTTCCTCTTAATACACCCCATAAAAACAGCAACTTATTCCAACCTGCAAGGTTGAAAATTCATAAGATTTAGCCAAGAAGTGTCTGTCAATTTCATTTTGAATGTAAAGATGAGTTCTTACGCCGAGATTTTTCTGGAAGAAGGTTAGAGGAGAATATTAAAAGCTCAACCGCGCCAAAATTCCCTTTGAGGCTGAAGTCATTCTTGATGATCCTGTCCAACAAGTTCTTATAGCTTCCTTCATAACTGCACAAGAAGCATGAAAAATGGTCAAGTTATCTGGGAAAAAAAATTAGCTCCTCCAAACAATGAAAGACATTCACAAACCTATCATGATCTTTTGCAAAAATGTAGAGAGCAACATTGTCTTCAGTGGCCCGACTTCTCATGAATTGAGTGGGCCACATGGTCAATCGGGGTGCTTCCTCCAACGATATCTTTTGAGGGAGTTTCGGCACTAGCTCAAGAACTTTATCTGAGGCGTAAGTTGATAAGTGCACTTGCATTCCATCACAAGTAAATGGAAGTCCGCTGCTACTCTGAATTTCAAACTTGCCTCTGCAAGACATGTCAAAAGGTATGTATAAGACAATTAAAGGATGAGCAGTGAAGCAGTAAGATGTCACTTGCAAACTTCAAAACAAACAATGAAGGAACAATAACCATACTGCCATATATAATCAGGCTGGGGAATAGCTGAAATCCAAGTCGCGTGTGCTTTAGAAGCTAAGCTAGAAGAATCTCTCAAGCGAGGATGCTCGTCATAGTGGACTTCGGCATTTGAATGCTTAGTACTGATAACTGGCACTACTTCCATAGGGTACTCAACATGCTGCCTAACATTTACAACACTCTTTTTCTCTTCATTTGCAGAACCTCCTTGGGCAGGATGAACAGATCTTTTTAAAGAATTATTTGATATTTCATGACTGGATGATTGAGGCAGACTATTTTCTCCTAGAGATGCAGTTCTTTTATTAGCCATTGATGCAAATGAATCACCGATGGCTAATCTCAATTTCTTTTCTGTCTTGGTTGAAAACTCTCCTTTTGTATACCTCGATACCTTCAAATCCTCGACATGGGAAACACTACGACCTAATTTAATGTCATGATTACTATTATTCATGTTATATGACTTAATATTCTTCGATGACAGAGATTTAGTTATCATTTGACCTCTCCCCTTACTCTCACTTGCAACGGTTTCTTTAACCAATCCTTCATTGCGGCATGTACTTTTATTGAGCTGTTGGACATCCTGTTTCAGGGTTGTAGTGGAGAATGATTTTGATTTAAAATGAAATCCTGCAATGCCAGAAATAAGAACATTTTAAGTTGGTCAACGAGACGAGTACAAGTTAACACTACAACGTAATTTAATGTTATGGTTACTATTCATGTTATATGACTTCATATTCTTCAATGACACGGATTTAAATATCATTTGACCTCTCCCCTTACTCTCATTTGCAGCAGTTTCTTTAATCAATCCTTCATTGTGGCATGTACCTTTATTGAGCTGTTGGACATCCTCTTTTGGGGTTGTAGCGGAGAATGATTTTGATTTAAATAGAACTCCTGCAATGGCAGAAATGAGAACTTTTTTGATTAGTCAATGAGAACAACATGTTAACATTCTAATCAATAGAGCACAGCTTCTGCCATTAGGAGGTGTGAGAAATATACCCCTTGACGCCTGAGCTTCTGACGACAATTTAGGTGATCTACCACTTGATTCTGTAGGAATGCACACAGCTTTCTTAGTGGTGCTACCAGAGTGGTCTCCAGATTGACGCTTTGAAGTTTTTCTGCTGGAACTACATGGATTAGGTGATTCCAAAAATGTCCCCAAAGGCCTTTTTTTGGCTAATTGTAAGCTGTCAGCAGGTCTCTTAGAAGAGAACAAAGGAATTGAACTAGCTTTACACACTTTGCTTTCCTCAACCTCCAAAGCTTTGGTTTCTGGAGATCTTTTTAAAATCCCAACTCCCTCTAATTGCTCTAGCTTTTGGTTCTCATTATCTTTACTGCTGACAGCACATTCCTCACACATCCAATCACCTTTGGGAACGCTATCCATCTTCACTCGCATGCAATAACTGGTTCATGGAAATGGAATGTCAACATTTCAGTATCCCACTAGAGAAAGAATTTGCCATAAAAGCACAAGCATACTAAACTTGCATGCATGAGAGAGGGTGATATGGGACCTACGTGTGTTCTGCCCCATCATTACACTTGCTACAAACAGCAAGCAACTCCTCTCGTCCTATGTCACCACATATATCACAAACTTTTACCTGCTTAACCAGAGACAACAATTAATATACAGAAGGCCTACTCTATTAAGCGGTGAAAATATAGCAAGCAAAGAAAGAACAAACTTCAACACTAAGGATTTCATGGTCATAAAGATAAGATGTGAATTGGATGCCAAAATATAAGAAACATCATTTCGAAGATATACCACCCCTATAACTTATAGTTAGAATCTTATGAATTGCTCAAGTAGCTATTTTTTTTGAATGAGCTGTATAAAAATACACCATTCAATGCCATGTAAAGTCAAATTAAACTTGTTGGCAGCAATTTAAAGCTTTCCCGCCATCATTTTCTTCCCACCTAGAAGTATAACCTAGTTTTAGCCATGTTAAGCCTAGTTTAAACATGCCTAACACAAGAATGTAACAGGAGTAACATAACATACATCGTACTCTATGCTGTCTGGTCCATCACTGCAAGAAGCTGGCCAGGATCCAATAGTAGTTTCCTCCGTATTGACTTTCTTAACCACTGTAGTCAACTTTACTTCATCTGTTTGTTCTCTTTCATTTATTCTGGTATCAACTTGCATAGAGTCGGCAGAGTTATGTTCGCCACCAATCTGACTGCCAACCTGTACCGCATCTGCTCTTGCAAAAGATTGCACTTGTTCCACAGAGCACTCAGAGTGTTCTCCCTGGAAACGATCACTAAATTTTAGTTTCAAATTCTAAGAAACTTCAAGGCGATTCACCACATAAAAGATAAGGAATCTCAAGAATTTAAAATACCTTTGCTGAGCTAGCACCAGCACGGGAATCTCGTAATGATGAAATTTCAGAAAAGTCTGATTTATTTGAACAACATAAAATCTCCCGAGAAGACTCATTGCATAATCTATTTGACTTCTTTCCACAAGGACCACCAACTATACAACAAGAAGCACTTTCAATCTCAGAAAAACTATTGATTGAAGCAGAGCTACAAGATGCATTTTTCTTGTTTGCATCACTGTTACAGTCGCCAGCCCTTGTCTTCACATGTTCAGACCCACAAATATAGGAGATGTTATCTCCAAGGCACTCCGAGGCCTGCTTCTCAAGCTGATTCGAGACTACCTTATCATGAAAGATTGATGCTTTTAATGAAGTGCAGTTTTTTGCACTGGTCTGATTCAGGTTTGGTTTTATAGTCCTCTTAATACCTTCCGAAGTGTTACAATCACAGCATGTTTCTCCACTCTCTGCATTTTCAGAGGATTCATGACTCAAACATGCACTGAGAGGGTGGCTTGCCACACTGCTTTTATGATGTCCATTGCATGGACTATTTACCCGAGGAGATGACAAATCAGCATCATTAAAAGAGCAAACATTACTTCGCTTTCTCCGACAAGCTTCACCTGCAAACCCATTGGTCTTTGTTGCCATTTCTTCAGAATGCACATGTGGCGAACATAAAGGAGCACATGAGTTGCATTTCACAGATTCGTCTTTCAAACCTAATTTACCGCTTGACAATTGTGCGTGACAAAGTCCTTCAGCTTTAAGTGATCCCTGATATACATAGAGAATCACAATCAGATAAAAAAACAGTGATATACAAAAGAACTCAACAAGTTTTTGATGTTCAAGAATAAAAACTGCCAGAACAAGATTAGCAAGAATCAAACAAAATAAATAAAACAATATCATAGTAGCAGAGAAATACAATATAGATAGAATGACCGAGGTTTTCTACTTTCTCCACATGTCCTACTTAATGGTATAAAAGGAAACAATATTGCATTTAGAGGTAAACATATAAAGAAGAAATAGAAAACCGCATGTGTTTTCACGTCATCAGAGTATTAATTAATAAGACAAAGGAAAAATAAATGTCTTGATTCGGTAGAAGCTGGGATATACTTCATTAAGTACCGGTGTAACCACATTTTTTTCCCCTTCCTAGCGAAGGAAAAATGAATATCACAATAAAACAATTACAACTCATTTCAGAATATGGAAAAAGGATGCTTCATTAATTTCCAAAGTGCCCACATATCACAAATGAAGCTCAAGAAAATGAAATTTTAAATCTACTTTGAATCCACATGCGTCAGTCTGATGCCACATAGTTCCCTTCTTTAGGATACAATGCAAATGGCAGAAATAACAAAAGAAGGTATAACTTATTTGCTTGATTCTATTGCTTCTACTCATTCAACTCAAACCAACATTCATGGAAGGAAACAAAAAGTATCAGAATAAATCAGTATAAAACAAAACCAGTCTCCATGCAATGAAATAACCAGCACAAAATAACATGAACTAAACTTGCAAACACAACAAAATTATCACAAAAAAGCCTGAAGCCATATAAAATATGCATAATGTAATTAACTTACAATTGATTTTTATTCATTGAACCATAATTGACAGAAACCTAGAAAAGAAATTCATTGTGTCACCACATAAACATTTCTCACCATATTCGACGGAGCAGGAATGTCAGAATCATCGGCAAGCTTTTCTGAACAGAAAATTCCTTTCACCATTGATGTAACCTGCACACATATCAAACAAGCAACATGAACTTCATTCATTTAGGAATATTGAAATACACTAAAAGCTGAGGTACATTCGATCGATTGAGGCAAATACACGATATAAGAACAGAAACAGTGAAACAAATAAATAGCTCGCTTCCTTTGAGTGGATTAAAAGAATCAGAAATCAATTTTGCAATATAACATGCAACAGCAGAAATCAAGGACTAAACCACCAAACACTTCTAGAAGTAGTAACATGTATCTATAAATTGAATAATTCATATATGAAGAAGAAACACGGTCTCTTCAACTTTACCACAGATCTTGAAACTAGAAACAACAACAAAGTAGACAAAAAGTCTTGAGCAATCAAGCAAGCATTCAAAAACAAATTAAAGAAAAACAACACAACGAACTGAATTATTCGAAAGAAAAATACAAATCCAACTATATAAACGTAAAAAGGCGTCGACTTTGTTTATAAGTAGGCGTGATCAGCGATCCAAAACCAACAAAACTGAACCTAGAACCAAAAGAAGAATAAGAAGAAGAAAAAAGAAATCCCATGCCTTTAAATCCTCACTTTTAACCCAATACAGTTCGTTTACTCTCTTGAACTTCACTTTTATCATGCCCCAAACAAAAAAAAATTAGAAAAACCGAAGACAACAACCAGGAAATTCAGGCTAGACAAACAAGACGACCATAAATCATTTTAAAAAATTGCCATGAAAAATCAGGAGATAAAGAAGCATAATTTAAAAGACCCCACATAATCAAAATTAAGTAAATTGACTTATTTTTGCTTGCCTTCCTTTTCTGGCCATCACCCCTCCTGTTTTCTCTGCTCTCTCTGTCTACTCTCTTCCGAGGTGTATATATATATATATATATATATGAAGCTAGATTTTTTATTTTTTGAAGTAACGCCGTGCGTGTTACGTAGACCGTACCAGATCTTATGTTTTATACGCCGTAGACTTTCCACTGATCAGATATTTCTAGATGCTAGCGCTTCCGGGAACTTCCTCGTGGTGTCGATTCTTTGACGTTTGCCACGTGGTGATGAAATGGTGGTCGTGCCTACATCGGATCAATGCTAGGTTAACGGGAAGTCGAGGACGTCACGCGTGGGACCCAGGCGGATGCTAACGTGCACCGTATGCGTGTATTTTAACTTTAGTTGTCAGCAATGGTGAAGGGGCACGTGTTTGACGTGGGAAAGTTAGAATATGTAGGATGCACTATCAACCGACGGATTGTTTTTTAAATTTGTGTTAATGTCGTGAAGTAATCTAATATTAATTTAAGCGTAAACTACATAAATAGTCACCAAAATTAGATATATTGCATTTTGGTCACCTAACTTTAAAAAATTACAATACAATCACCAAACTTTTAGTTCGTTCTCAATCAGGTCTCTGACGTACCTCCCATTAGTTGTGACACGTTGCCTCTAGGGATGGCAAACGGGTACAATTTCGTGGATTTCGCACCGCACCCGTTCCAATTGGGGCGGGGATGGGTATAATTTTAGTGGGTAGTGGGCGGGTATGGATTTAGAAAGTGGTACCCGTCGCGGGTAGTGGCGGGTAATGGGTTTGACACCTTACCCGCCCCGCATCCGCCCACCCTACATCCGCCCGCCCAGCTAAATATCCATTACATTTTGGACATTATGAATTTAGGTGTAATTTTATAGACTAATTTATAAATCTTAATATTGTATAAGATATAACTTGTTATTTAACCAAATATTAGGGATAAGTTAAGTTTATGCATAATTTTTTTCCTTTCAAACCTGTCATTTTCATTACTGCGCCGATCTTTAAAGGCAGTCTGGGTTCTACGCATTTCTCAATTTCATATGTTACTATCAAGTTTCTGCCGATCTTCAAATGATGTTGGATTTTGTGGTGTTTTTGGTATAAAGAATTCATTGTCTTAGGATATTGGAAGGGATTGCATAATAAAATACTCATTTTTTAGTTAAAATGTCAAAATCTTATATCAATCTGCATGCATTGATACTGGTTGGAACAGTTCGAAACTTATCAAAATTGTGGAAATGTACTGAAATTCGGATTGTAATGAAGCTTAGACTACTTGATATCAGTTTAGGGCAAAATGAGTAAGTACTAGTTTTATTTATGTGTTTGTTGCTTATGTATAACTTAAGTTTGCTGTCAAGCGGGTATAGCTGGGTATATCTCTAGTTGGATAGTGGGTGTGGGGATGGATTTAAGAATGTACCCGCGTGGGTGGGTGTGGATTTGAAATTTTTTACCCATCATGGGTGGTGGGCGGGTGGTGGATTGAAAAATATTAGATGGGTATGGGGATGGGGGAAGGGGTATCCGAACCCGACCCGCCAGTTTGCCATCCCTAGTTGCCTCCGTTAACCCTTCTTTCTTTTGGTACGAAAAGGACGTCACTATTATTCTTTATGCCGCCTTTATATGAATGTTTCAAAAACTAAAATTTTTACACGAAAGAAAGCTATCCATTATATTCTGATGCAAATAATTATCCTAGGGAGTTGCCTTTTACCTTTTACGATGCCATTATGTTGATCGATGCCTTAAATTTTTCTGCCTAAGCATGCATGGTCTAAATTGAGAAAACAATTGTGAGCCTCATTTTATTTTCAGGTGAAACAACAATTCTTCAGATGGGTTGAGTTTGGAGCTTTGTCTTTCACGTGCATTCAGATTTTACATAACTAGTTTTATAGCCTTTTGCTTTACTTGGCATCACCACAATTTACGTCATGCTGTTGAGATGCTTTTTTTTCTTTAATATTTTGTCCATTTACATTTTTATCCATCAACGGATTCGAGATTAATTTTTTATTGTATTTTTTACGCATGTAGCTTTTGGAACTTTGATGCATTGTTCCACCCGCAGCAACATCCTGCACGTAATTCACACGATACATTCTTTTTGGAAGGTGTGTTTCAATCGACTGAATCACTAAACACATATTTTAAAGAAGGACTTATGGGAGGTAACGTGCCACATCAGATAAAACTAGCGGGAGGTTTCATCAGCGACCTTACTGAAAACGAACTAAAAGTTCAGTGACTATATGCAAGTTTAAAAAGTTGGTGACCAAAATGCAAGCCCCCTAAACATTTGGTGACTATTTATGTAGTTTACCCTTAATTTAATTGATAAAAAATAAAAATATTACCATATATTTTTAATTATTTATCTTTAAAAATAATAATAATAAATACTATTTAATATTTATATCCAAACACTATTATTTTTCCTTTACAATCATTTATTATTATTTTAAAAATATATATTTTCAATTAATATATCGTATATTTTTTGTACGAGTCAAATGATCACAGTAGTTAAAGAAATTGTCGTTATCTCTATAGATTATGGGTTCGAGTATGACATCTATAAAGATATCTGAAAGTTAATTGTCAAATTATTGAGAGACTTTCAAACAAATACTACTTTTCAAATTAATGAAAAAACTAATACATATTATTTTAAATAATAATCTATAGTATAAAACTATATTAAGCTATAGGTTCTCTCATAAAAACATGAATGTGAATTTTGTGTAGTACATAATTTAAATAAGAAATAATTAATTCTGTAAGTTAAATTATAAAAAGAAGTTGTTGAATTATGTATTATAATTATTAATATTTTACTTATTAAAAAATTATTTTAAATTAGATAATAATTAAATAAGGCCACATTGGACGCAGCACATCAAAATATACTGTTAATCGACATATCAAAAGGATAATATTAATCAAATTATCTTTATTAAATCAATATTAAAAATTCACTTTCTCAATTTCATTATTGGGACTAATATTTTTGGGTTTAGAAGAATAAGAATCGATAAAACAAACTCACAATTTGCTTGCAGAGATACAAAGGGCTTGCAAGCAGTGGTGGAACTAAAGAGAGATTAGTGGGACTATGGCCCCTCAAAATTTTAAAAATTATGATTTAGACTCTTAAAATTTAAAAAAAATTAAGTTAGATCCCTTAATTTTTTAGAAATTCAAACTAAACTTTAATATTTTTTTAATGTTCTTAATTAATTTCTCTCCCATAAATTTAAAAATTCTCATTAAGTCTATCAAATTTTCAAAAATTTTAGTTAGACCCTAATTTTTTTAAAATTATAAACTAAACTCTTCAAAATTTACTTTTTTTTTAATTTAAACCTCTGAATTTTTTAAAAAGTTTTAAGTTGGTGTCCCAAACTCTATCATCAAGTTCCACCACTGCTTACAAGAGAAGGTCAAAGGGAACAATGCAGCCAATGAGGTAAGGCCAACGACCGCGAGGATGTGAATTTGGAGATTAGGAATTAGAGTTTGAAATTCGAGATTTATATTAAATTGAATTATTTTAATTTTTTTATCTTATATGATATAAATAATAATAAAAATTCACATCATAGCCAAAAAAAAAAGTTGTGCTATTATACCTTTATGATTTGATGATATAATGATTAAAATATGAACAATTTAAGAGTTAAGTGATTAGATTAAAAAGTTTAAATTTTAATGATCAAAATAGAAATGATGATAAATTTTATAATTATGTAAATTTTAGAAAATAGTTGATTAAATCCGACAAACATATTAGTTTCCCTAAGTCGTAGAGTAAGGTTTATTCTGTTTTGTTTGTCTCAGTTTTTTAATAAAAGATGAAATAAATCGTACTTTGCGGTTTTAAAAGTAAAATTGAATGGTATGAAAATGACGATTGATTCAATCGGATTTTAGGATTTTTTATTGTTTACAATTTTTTAAATTGACAAACTTAAAATTTAAATCGAGTGTAAATATATAAATTTAAATGTTGAATTAAGGCCCAAGAAGTAAATAATTCCTCATCTTATTCATAACATATGTGCGAAGGTCCTTATATATACAAGAAGGATATTGAATGATATCTAACAAACTTTATAACAGATTCAACTAATCAGCTAACTACTTTCTACACTCCCCCTCAAGTTGGTCCCCAACTTGGACACCAGCCTGCTGTGTTGTTGAACTCCAAGCGCTTTAGTTAAGACGTCCGCAAGCTGCTCAGCAGAACTTACGTGTTCAGTTTTGATCAATCCTTCTTGAATCTTTTCTCTGATGAAGTAACAATAGATCTTAGTTCGATCGTGAAAGACAGGATCTGCTGCAATCTGCAATGCATCCTTGCTATCACTATATAACATGGCTGCTTGTCTAGTTTCAATCCCAAGCTCACATAGCAGTCCTTGCAACCAAACTTTTTCTGCTGTAGTGTTCGCCATGCTTCTATATTCGGCCTCTACAGAGGACCTTGCAATGGTAGACTGTTTTTTTGGACTTCCATGAAATCAAGTATTCTCCCAGCTTGATACAAAAACCAGTTACTGGCTTCCTTGAAACAATGGCCAATTAAAAGAGGCAGCAAGGGCAAGAACCAAACGCACAGTAACTAGTTTAGCAACCGGGAAAAAAATATCTACAAAGTCTATCCCTTTTTTTTACTATAGCCCTTGGCAACAAGGCGAGCTTTGAAACGCTCAATAGAACCATCAACTTTGTACTTGATTCTGTAAACCCATTTACAACCGATGGACACCTTCCCCGGAGGTAAAGGAACAACGGACCGAGTCCCATTAGCTTCCAAGGCTTGCATTTCCTCTTCCATAGCTTTGACCCAAGCTAATTAACAGCTTTTGAATAAGAAGTTGGTTCAAGTAGAGTGGAAGTGGAGGCAATAAATGATTAAGTGTGAGGGGGAAGATGATTATATGAAATATGATCATTTATGGGATACAGGACTAGGGCAGAAACAGATTGATAAGAGCATATGAAGTCATGTAACCAAGCAGGCCTTTT